AATCATGGACAAAGTGAACAGTCTGTTTGCCTTTAGTAAATCAACCCCATAGAGTACAAACTATGAAACTTTCTGAAAAGGTATATACTGACATTCAACTATATGTGAAAAGCATTCCCTCATTCATAGATAGACATACAGACATATATACAGTAGAAATGATCACATACAGTACTTCTGAATGGAAAGAGGTACTGTCCAGTTATTTGTTTTCAAATCCCTATGTGCGCGGAGCATCTAGCTCCTTCTAGAGGCCAATAGAAGGAGCTAGAGGCTCCAAGCCATAGCCTGACTTTCCCACGTCTGTGCTCTTCCTCCCCACGGACCCTCTGCCTCTTCATGTGATGTCACATCCTGCTGGAGTGTTCCAGGCTGGTTACTAGGCTCCTTCCTGCACAAACGCCACTGGATCAGCTCTACAACACCACCACTCTGTAGGATTGACCACTACAGTGTCTCTCACCTTCTCCATCAGCCCAGCTGCTATTGCACCAACCACCGGTGGCACCTGCAGGACATTTTGAGGAATGGTCATCTCTCATATACACAGATGAGCTTGTTTTTTTACTTCCTTTGTAATTGTTTTTAATCCTTTGCTATTAAATACAGTGTTATTACTACACTGAGACCGGTGCCTCCTGTCTCTTTTCTTCTGTCTCTGCATACAGAGCTGGCTTTCTCCAAGGATTGGTGCCGTCTTTTGGTACTAAAAAGATTCCAGGCAGATTGCCTGAGAGACTCTTATAAGGACCTATTGTACACCAATACATTTACATACCGTTTTAAGTACTTGTGTGCCAATATTGCCATTATTATCTTTTACTTTATAATTTTTATCCTTTTCACCCTTACACTACTTTACTCCTGTGTGCCAGAGTTACTCGTTTTTTTACTATATGGATCTGAGGAGTGGCTGGCTGCACTCTTGAGGGACCTCAGCCAATCTCCAACAAAAGGCTTGGCAAGAGACTGGACTGCCTTAAAAGTGTAGGAGCCTGCTCAGTGGCAGGAATGTGTGTGGTGGGAGAGGTATAGAGAGTTAGAGAAAGATGTGAGGCTGGAGGAAGGAGGCTGCCAGGAGACCTAGTGAGATGGGGCCTGCCTGCAAGTCTGGAGCTGGAGAGGAGGATAGCTCAGGGCTCACTGGACCCCTGAGAGAGGACCACCTGTATGGCAGGGTCTGGGGTGGTACAACAAAGAGATGCTGGCTATCACCCCAACAGAGACTGTGTCACAGAAGAGGAGCTTGTGAATAGCTTCAAAAAAGTTGCCCTCATTTATCGGTTCCCTTGGGCATCCTATACCCCCTTACCCTATCCCAGTTCTAATCCCCTCAATAAACATCAAAACAAAAGCTGATATCTGACTATGAATGCAAGCTGGTGTGGAAAATGCTGAATGCCTGGCTGTGCAGAACTATAGGGGGACCCAATTCATCAGCAACCACTAAGGGGGTAGTGCTACATCTAAAGTATATACCCTCGCTGATCATAAGAAAGTAATAAAGGCGGTAGAATATTTTTTTCTAAAGATGAAGAGATTGATAACATGTGGGAACCATGGATACATTATATCTCAGATGAACAATGATTGGTTTCAATTGCCGGTCAATGGTGTATCTCTTATCACTTCTTCTTCCCCATCTTAATTCTTCTTTTTTCTCCACACTCCTTTAGTTTTTTCTTATTTTTTGTCTCTTAATGCGTTCATTTGGGAATATATAACTTTTAGCAAACTAGCAAAGCTTCCTTCTCTGCTTATACACGTATTTGTTGTTACCGATGAGAAATACTCTGTGACAGATTGCAAACAATGTGAATTATATGGAAGTCTTCACACCCTGTTATTCACATGTACAATATATCATTACCTTAAAAATAATAATTAAACGAGAAGGTCTTGTTCTGTTGTATCCGCTTTACTGATGGACTAAATAATTATCTACAAGAGGCTGCCTTCCTACTGCTTTGTTTTCCATGCATCTGTTGGATCATCCTATGTTTCCTTTATACACTATGTACTTCTTAAACTGACAAAAAAACTTTTGTAGAAGAAAAATAATAACTAGAAAATCTACAATTTCTGGGGAAATTGTGTAAAGTGTTCTTGCCGCAACCTTTACCAAGTAATGATGAAATGTAAGCAGTGTACATAGCAAGCCTGATAGTGAGAAATGGATTTCAGCTTGTATTTTGGAGCTCACAGTTAGCCTCAATGACTCAGCTGTGTGTGAGTCATGTTTGGTTGCTATAGCAACTCACTCAGTCAGGAATGTTTGCAGGTCTGTTCTAAACACACTGTTTAAACTTGCCAACTTCACTGGCGATTGCCATCTTGAAACACTTGTAGTTTTAAAAGTATAAATGCTACAGCAAAGAGCCTTATATTGTGATAATCACAAGAAGCAGGGCTAACTTTTGATGTATAGTATGTCTCTGAAAGATAAAAAATGAAGGCACAGTCGCAGTTTAAAAACGTCCCTTAAAATTTCAGGTGTCTAGAGTGGATTTTCAATGAAAGTCAATGGGAGGGGTGAGGTGCAAACAAATGGTCATATTGTGAAAACTATCAAGAGTATGTCCTAGCCGTGAACATTTTTAGTGACAGCAGGGTTAGCTGAACGTTTTGATATAAGATATGTGTAGGTGGGCTTGAAAATGTCAGAGTGATGGCAGTTTACAAATCATGTTGTGATTTTTCCTTCTACACTCTAGATTTGTCATTTCTCACTCTAGTTGCTCAATGCATTCCTATGGGAAAATTGCGCCACAAAAACCGCGATATTTCTTGAACGATTTGGCGAAACGTTCCACAAAGTAATAACAATCCGATCGGGAACAATCTGCACGTTTTGATATATTACTTGTCTTTGTAGTGTAAAAACTGTGGGAGGCGTTAGCGTGGCAAATATGGCTATAATAAGAAACGGAATAAGAATAAGAATATATATGTGAGATAACAATAAGTGTCCCTTGCTATGCAAGAACACTTAATTAACACTATTGGAAAAGAAACATTGAAGGGATAGAGGAACTACAATATTTTCACTGAAAAGGCATGGCAATTCCTTTTATTAGTGAGTCATCAGATTTAGGGGTGTATTTGTAAAATATTTGCAGAGCTATTCCTACTTTAAAACTGCACAAGCATTCATTCTGTGCAAATTTCTGCATCATTACGTAGTTACATAGTTAAGGTTGAATAAAGACACCAGTCCATCCAGTTCAATGTGTTTGTGACTGTGTGACTGCTATTTTCAATAGTCCTGTACGTTGCATTCGCTAGGAAACACATCTTAAATTGTTTTCAATTTATCCAAACACCCCGATAACACCACCAACTGTGCAAGGGAGTTCCACATTCTTATTGCTCTAAAGCTGGCCATAGACAGATTGAAATTTGGTTGGTTCAGCAGGGACTGTCCAAAGTCATCTATGGCCAGTTCTGTTCAAAAGCTTTTGATCTACTGATAGACTGCTCTTAAACGGGCTTGCTGTACAACTTTAGTTCAATCAGAGCTTCAGTCAAGAGGCTGCAGAGCTGATCAATGTATTCTGACAGTAAAATGGGGTAAAAGACGAGCGCTTGGTCTGAGGGATTCAAGCTGCTAGCATGAAGGTAAACCTCGTATAACCTCCTCATAGAAAATAAAAACAGCAAAAATGCAGCGCTTGAGCATGTAGTAAGAAGAATTGGCGTGTGCACATCAGAATTAAAAGAAATACATTGAAGGTATAACATGCACCAAATTAAACGTACAAATTAATGTAAACAATGGACGGGTAAGTATTAATGATTCATCCGACCAAACAAAGTGCATATAGTGATAGGGATGTTGGAGTCATTAGAAGTACATCCGTGTGCCAATCAAATTCGTGACTTCCGTGATAAGAGAATAGCTGCAAAACGCACTAACCAGATAGCGCAAGAAAAAGCGCATTGGAGTATAATGACCTACTCCTGGTCACAGCCAAAAGATCATCAGCGAAGGGACCTCAGGAACACCTTTGCATCAATCATGCCGTCTCCTACCACCAGGGGGAGTACGCCTCCTTACAGTAACACGAATTTGCCTTATATCGTCTTTCGCCAGGGGTGGTGTGCTTTCATATCAGGAGATCACCTTAGGGACTCAGCAATAAGACACAAAAGAGAGAAATCTTGATAGTGTAGTAATTTTTATTCAAGAGATTGCTAAAGAACAAGTAGCACACTTACATAATGATATCCAGAAAAGCTGATTCACAGAATCCAAAAAGATGGCCGATAGTCAGATGCATGGACCATGTGGGTAACAAGTGGTATGAGAGGCATCCTTATCCCTAACGCGTTTCGTGGCAAGAGCACATTATTAAAGGTGATAATGTGCTCTTGCCACGAAACGCGTTAGTGATAAGGATACCTCTCATACCACTTGTTACCCACATGGTCCATGCATCTGACTATCGGCCATCTTTTTGGATTCTGTGAATCAGCTTTTCTGGATATCATTATGTAAGTGTGCTACTTGTTCTTTAGCAATCTCTTGAATAAAAATTACTACACTATCAAGATTTCTCTCTTTTGGGTCTTATTGCTGAGTCCCTAAGGCAGGCATGTCCAAAGTCCGGCCCGCGGGCCATTTACGGCCCGAGGGTCGGTTTAATACGGCCCTCCATGTCAGTGTGTCAGTGTGTCTTATGTAGCGAATATGGAGTGGCCGGTCCGGTATTTCCACCGCGGCCGTGTCAGAATACCGGGCCGGCCGCTCAGCTCTGCAGCGGGACCTTACCTGTTCCTCTATCCAGCGGCGCGCTGTCTTCCCGGCTTCTGTAGTGTGGGCGCTGGGCATGACAGCCGGGTGCCAAGTGCGCATGCGCAAGAAGCGGTGCTTTTTGTGAATGGTAAGGCGGTACCTAGGACACATGACAGATCCCAGAAGCCGCCGGACCAATCACAAAGCGCAAGTGCTTCTCGCTCATGCGCACTGGGCACCCGGCTGTCATGCCGAGCGCCATTACAGAAGCCGGGAAGACAGCGCGCGGCTGGATCGAGGAACAGGTAAGATCAAAGAACAACTGCGGAAGAGCGGGTACCTGTCAAATTCAGGTACCCGCTCCCCACCTCCCCAAAGGTCAGCAGTCATCTGTACTGTCCGCAGTCTCTGGTCATCCCTGTGCTGTCCGCAGTCTCTGGTCATCCCTGTGCTGTCCGCAGTCTCTGGTCATCCCTGTGCTGTCCGCAGTCTCTGGTCATCCCTGTGCTGTCCGCAGTCTCTGGTCATCCCTGTGCTGTCCGCAGTCTCTGGTCATCCCTGTGCTGTCCGCAGTCTCTGGTCATCTCCTGTACTGTGTCTGCAGTCCATTAGTTCAGAATTTTTTTTTTCCTGTTTTCTGCCTCTAAAACCTAGGTGCGTCTTATGGTCAGGTGCGTCTTATACGGCGAAAAATACGGTAACTTGGCATAAAATAATTTATTTGCATTTAATTGTAATGGTTCAAAGAATGTTTGGAAAAATGTTCGGCCCTCCACCATGTTCACTTCATCCAATCTGGCCCTCTTTGAAAAAAGTTTGGACACCCCTGCCCTAAGGTGATCTCCTGATATGAAAGCACACCACCCCTGGCGAAAGACGATATAAGGCAAATTCGTGTTACTGTAAGGAGGAGTACTCCCCCTGGTGGTAGGAGACGGCATGATTGATGCAAAGGTGTTCCTGAGGTCCCTTCGCTGATGATCTTTTGGCTGTGACCAGGAGTAGGTCATTATACTCCAATGCGCTTTTTCTTGCGCTATCTGGTTAGTGCGTTTTGCAGTTATTCTCCTATCACGGAAGTCACGAATTTGATTGGCACACGGATGTACTTCTAATGACTCCAACATCCCTATCACTATATGCACTTTGTTTGGTCGGATGAATCATTAATACTTACTCGTCCATTGTTTACATTAATTTGTACGTTTAATTTGGTGCATGTTATACCTTCAATGTATTTCTTTTAATTCTGATGTGCACACGCCAATTCTTCTTACTACATGCTCAAGCGCTGCATTTTTAATGTATTCTGACAGTGGAGGAATTTCCCTGGCTGAAAAACTGAGCAATGTATGGCCAACTTTACAGTAAAGAACCCCTTGCGCTGTTTAGGATTGAAACATTTCTCATCTGACTGTATTGTGTGGCCCAGAGTATTATTTATAGACCTTAGGTTAAAAAGTTTTCTCTCAATACTAGGGTCACCATATAAAGATTTGCATATCACTATCATATCCCCTTTTAAAGTGGTTGTAAACCCTTACATATACCCAGTGAAGTGACTGGCCTCAGGTGATACAAAGAGATTAAACAAATCCTCCTACATACGTTGTACCTGTTTATCTACAGTTGTTTTTCCTCTATGTTCATTCAAAGTGCAGAATTTACACAGGACCTCACAGCTCTAAAAAGTAGGGGTTGGGGAGCTGAAGTTATATCAGTTTACATTAAATGAAATCATGTTATGGTCACTGATACCCAGATGTTCTTTTATATGAACATTAGTAATAAGCTCTGCATGGTTTGAGATATCCCGGTCCAGCAGAGCATCATTCCTAGTTGGGACCTCTATGAACCGTACCAAAAAATTGTCTTGTAGTAGGCTTATAAATGTTTGCCCTTTAACTGTTCTTGCAGTGGCTTTACTCCAGTCAATTTCCGGGTAGTTAAAATTCCACATTATTATCAGTGTGCCAGCCCTGGCAGCCCTTTCTATCTGTGCAAGGAGCTGAGTCTCCACCTCCTCATTAACACTGGGTGGCCTATAACAAACTGCAATGATTACCTTTGTAGTATGCACACACATGTGCAGTTCCACCCATAATGCTTCAGCCTCATCACACTCTCCACCAACTAGGTCCTCTTTCACATTTGCTCTGAGATCACTTCTCACACAGAGATAGATAACACCACGTTTCCTTTTTACCTTGTCTCTACGAAAGAGAACATAGCCAGGAATAATAAAGCAGAGCTCCACCCTAAAGGGGAAGTTCTGCTTTAAGTCTTTGTCCCCCTGCTCCCCATTAAGGATTGGCACCTTTGGGGAATGGGGGGGAGCGGGTACCTGAATTTGACAGGTACCTGCTCCTACTTCCGCTGTGATCAACTATGCAATCGGAAGCAAAAGTTGTCCTCCCCCCCCCTCCCTCCCCGTAGTCTTCTGGTACGCGTGACAGATCCCAGAAGACTATGGTGCCATTCACAAAGCACAGCGCGTCTCGTGCATGCGCAGTGGGCACCTGGCTGTGAAGCCGCAAGCTGTCACAGCCGGGTGCCCACATTGAAGATGCTGGCACCAGGGAGAGAAGACGGGCCAGTGATACCAGCAGTGGTGAGGACACCGCTGGACCCTGGGACAGGTAAATGTCTGCATTTTAAAAGTCAGCAGCTACGGTTTTTGTAGCTGATGACTTTTATTTTTTTTATTTTCATGTGGAACTCTGCTTTAATGGCACAGTCATGTGAAGAATGAAGCCAAGATTCAGAAGTACCAATTAAATCGTAGTTCTCTTCATGCACCAAAGCTTCCAGCTCACCTATTTTGCTTGGCAGACTTCTGGCATTGGTGAACAATCACTTTAATTCATTGTCACATTTTGTACTCACATTTTGCATATTTTTTATTTAAATAATAAATACAAGTACTTTAAGGAAAACCATTTATTGTTATCACTTACTAAGGGCAGCTTCCATTATAAAACAAAAGGGGTGAATAATACATTGAAAGGGGGGGGACTTTTGTTTTCTATCCTTGGCAGAATGGAAGAAATTTGTGAACACAGACCTCTCAATGTATAAACTTTCCTATGATCTTTGGGAGAAATCACTGAAAGTTGAACTTTTCGGGGACCCAAGATCAAATCTGACTGCACCCTCTATGTTTTTGATAAAGTGGAGAGGGATTAGAACACCTGTAAGGTCTTTATTGCTGTCTCCTGTTAGAGAGATTCACTCTCTATATTTGTCCTGGTTATGGTTATCACAGAGAGTGAAATAAAATCCCTAATTTTGGGACAAAATAGGAATAGAGGAGAAATCTTCCAATGGGATATCAGTTCTGGTGACAACCAGGGATTCCCTTACTTTGGAGGGATTTCCTGTCACTTCCTGTTTTGGCTATGGGACAGAAAGTGAAGGGAAATCTTCCAAATGGGACACAGATGGCAAAAACTAACAGGGGTTATAACCCTGTCTTACCCTATCTAATCTTTACCTTTAGTTTTACTTTAACTTCTTCCCACCAGCCATACGCATATATGTGGCCTCTCAACATGTAGGCTTTAATGCCAAGAGGCCCAAATGTAAATATTTCTGTCCTGAGAGTGCGGGCCTTGTGCGCTCCCAGCACATTTACCAGAGAGTACCGAAAAGTTCCCAACGCCTACTTGCAGTGGGGGCTTTCCGATCATGTGACCACTGTGACTGACAATTATAATGGTCACATGATCAAAATTCCCACCTCCCGGCCTTTGAACCTCTTAAAAGGCTGGGAGGACAGAAATGGGTTAACATCTGGAGGTACTTGCTTCCACTTCTTGGGCTTTTAGCTAAGATCAAGTGGAATACCTATTCTAATGAGTTTTCAGGAACAGAATGCTGATGCCACATGTTGAGTGGCAGCGCTGGTTAGTAATTCCTGATATAATACGGTTGGTACAAAGGGAGGGATTCTTTTCCTCCTGGGTTAATTCTGGCCTGGCTTGTCTCCAGCTGAAGGCAGGGCTCTCCCTAAGAGATAATGCATTTCTGGTAAGAATGGGGCTGCATTTGTCTGACCAGGGACTGGGAGGCCCCTGGTGATGTGCCCCCTGAGAGTGGGGTCCCATGGGTGCTACACAAAGCACTATGGGTTTGGGACCCTACAGAATTTCACTGGCACTTGTTCACATCACTCATTGCTTTTCTTGAACTTGCCTTTTGGGCAGGCTAGTCCAGAAACATTTTTATACTGGTCAAAAGGCCTGCTCTGCACTGGGGGTGCAGGTTTTTTGGGGCATGCCCTAGTGTCAGGCAGAGGATCTGTGGCCTTTGGGTATTTTTCCTCTTCCCAACTGGGGGTCTCTCTGTGGGAGTACCCTCACCAAGTACTTGGAGGATCAACTTTGGCAGGTCCCTAAAGAGTGGGGTCAACCTGGCTTCAGCCTAGGTAGACCATAGAGTACCTTGCCCTTGTCAGGAGCCTTGCAATTCAGGGGGATCAGGGATTCAGGCCCTTCCTCTTCAGTGGTTGTTCTATTGTTGTACTTTTGTGCACTTTTTTGTTTGCTGTGATTTAACGGTTCACTTCTTTCTTCATCAACGTAGCATCATGGAGCTCTGTAAAAAAAAAGGATTCTAGATGTATTTGTTTAATCATATGCCATTCTTTTTTGGAACAACTGTGGCCCTACTGCATCGTTAAATAGTTAGGTTGAAAAAGACACAAGTCTAGTTCAACTGATAGAAAAAAAGAAATAATTAGAAAACCACCATATACATAATCCTATACCCACAGTTGATCCAGAGGAAAGCAGGAAACCCTATGAAGCATGAAGTTTCAACAACTTTTGTAGAAGAGATAAAGTGTGGATTGTTTAGTTATTTATTGACCTTTTTCTGTATTATATGTAAAATCAATAAAATTATCTCCAATAGTCCTTCCTTCTCTTTACATTTGGAATCTCCTTTTAGAATCCAGCACTTCTCCTTCGTTATCCCACGTGGGGCTGGAAATGAAAAGCAAGTGGAGGCCAGCTGTACAGACAGATGAGATCAAGCATTCAGTTCTGCAGGAAAAGATTAATCATGTTTAATTCTTTCAGAAGCACTTCCATTGTGAGCCCCCTCCCTGACACAGTGATTATGTTTCTCAATCAGGAAGATGTCTTTCTACTAATTAGCGGCTCCCTGGCACACGCAATCCAGGCAGGCCAGAGTGAGAAGTCCGGGCTCCGTGCGAGGGCCAAACGGAAATCTGCGCCTTTGTTATTCTAACTGCAGAGTTTTACCCTGAAACAGGTCTGCCATTATCAGAAGGCACGCCAAGCTCGCCGCACTAATTAGCACCTCATTTCAGCTCTCTGGGCTTTTTCTTTCCTTTTTTTTTTCATTTTCAAGGCATTTCATACAAAAGCCTCATTTGTACCCACTGATTCCCTTGCCTCTACTCGTTAACTGCTGCAGAAACAAGCCTGAATATTAGGGTGAAAAGGTAAAGCTAACATCATGAAAGGACTGCTGTGATGATTTTTACAAAAGAATGTAATAGGTTGATATCAGAAGATCCCATCCTGCTATCTGAATGACCGGCCCACAGAAAAGTACGGTTTTGATGTTCGAATAGAGACGAGTTCAGTGAATGTCCAAGCTCATCTCTACTTGACATCCCATTCAAATCGTTGCCATACATGATAAAGGGTATTTTGATTGAAAGTTTGAAGATACGATTGGAAGTTATCCATCACAGTATGAGGTCTCCAAACTTTTCAGTATGAAGGCCACATCAATGTTTTACAAACATTTGTCGGCCACAAATAAATCAGTTTTATACAAGAAAGAAACAAATTTAAATGAATGAATATGTTTTATTTGGAGGTTTTTTTTCTTTTAACACAGCATGATATAATATAGAGCAGAAAAAAACTTTAGTAAAACAAAGCATAGAAATTCCATATAAACTTGAGAGTTCTGCCTTACATCAGAGTCCCCATCATGGTGTCCGTTTATGAACCAGCAGTAATAGATCGCTGCTCAGTTCTCCGGCATTCTCGGAGAACACAGTTTCTCCTGTGAATGCCGTTTATGAAGCATATGTAGATCAGTTCTCCAAACGAAGGGAGAACGGTCTACAAACGCTGGAAAACGGCTGATTTTACTATAATCTCGCGAGATTACAGTAAAAGATCAGTTTACTAAGCAGAGGTAAATTATCTCTGCTTAGTTTGCGGTCCTTCCGATTCTCCAGCTCTGGGCTGGAGAATCTGGAGGGAGAACACAGATCTCCAGAAAAGGGCTGAACATATTCTCCTGGGTGTCATAAACTGTGAATGACCAGAGAATAGCTGTGAGCCTCTGAATCGCAGCTATTCTGTGTGTTATAAACGGACACCAAAGTCCCCATTACATCACAGTCCCCCCTTACATCAGAGTACCCATAAAAGATCCCATATATCAGAGTTCCCCTTACATGAGAATCCCCATCAGAGTTCCACCTTACACCAGAGTCCCCATCAAAGTTCCCCTTACATCAGAGTCCCCGTAAAAGTCTCCATACATCAGAGTTCTTCCTTACATGAGAATCCCCATCAGACTACCACCTTACATCAGAGTCCCCATCAAATTTCCCCTTACATGAGAATACCCATTAGAGTTCCCCTTCACATCAGGGCAGGGGTGGACTGACCATTTGGAAACTCGGACACTGCCCGAGGGCCCGGGGTCATTAGGGAGCCCCATGACATGCCCCTGGTACCTTTTTCATAGGCTTTTTTGAGTTTGGGCAAGGACACAGGGGCTCCATGATCCACTATTGCCCAGGGGCCCCATGAATTGTCAGTCTGCCCCTGCATCAGGGTTCCCATCACTGTCCTTTCTTACATCAGAGGACAGGATAAAATCTTACAGCAGGCTGGATTTGGCCTGCAGGCGAGAGTTTGGAGACCCCTGAACGAATCAATTAAAATACGATTAAATTCATGGCCAAAGCATCAATGTACTACTGATCATTAATTTTTCTTCTTGCCGATCAACTCTATTTGATCAAATCTGATCTATATCAAATATATATCAATCAGAATGGAAGTTATGGCTATTTGATTGTTTGCTGACTCAATCATTTTGAATAAATCACCTATTGATTAAAAAACAAATCAAAGCATGTTTGTCAACCTTATGATAAAACTGCTTAATACAAACTTCCCTGAAAATCACTTTTATATAATTGGACCTATACTGAATTTAAACAGATAATATCAACAATATTTTTATTAAAGGTTCTGTGTATCTTGAAGGCATTATTCCTTCACATGCTCATCATATTGATTTCTGTAAAGGTAACCATACAGTCTGATTGTACAATCTCATTTAGATCTACCATTAACTATGTAGCACAAGAGATTGATTTTATACTAATTAATTATTTAGGTTTGACCTGATATTACATAGTTTTGGTCAATGGGACTGTGCAAGCAGATTGTAGAATGTATGATTGGGGTGAGTGTGGTCATATTAGTGAACCTGCAACAAAAATAGCTGAGTACTGTTCATGAAACTTGTTTTATTTGCACTAATATTTTAATTTTCAAGACAGGCTTTTTGGCAGTTTCCTTTTTCTCCATGCTGTACTCAATAGTGTATGGCCAGCTTGGCACCTAATGATGGCTATACACACTTTAATTTATTATCTGATTTGAACAAAAAGATAGATACAATCAAAGAGGCGTAACTTTACTTAGACTCAATTTATATCAAATTTGATCAAACTCAGTCGATCAGCCAGGGCGCAAAATGACCAGTTGTTAAGCTTTGTTTGTATCTGTATCTTCCAACTCTCGAACAAAGCTACTTCCCAGCATGCGTCACACTGATTGAATGGGTTGTCATTTATAGATTGATTATTCCTATTGGGAGAGATTGATCAGAAATTAAATGTGTGTATGGTCACCATTAGACTGTCCATACACTATACAATCTGATAATAGAATATCCTTTGGATCTACCATCAACTATGTATGCAAGGGCCATTTTTATTGCTCTGTTTTTCCTCATATGACATGGTTTTCGTAAATCTAAAGGAAACTGTACAGAAGGTGTACAATCAGATTGTATTGTGTATCGCCAGTATTACACACAGGAAACTGTTCAGTTTTGCATAGTCATGACATGATGTAATGTAGCTCCTGCACACAAACTTTCATATGTTTCTATAGACAGTTGCTAACATATGTAGATAATTACATTCAATAGATTGTCGTGGAGTATTATATTTTTTTTTGTTATCACTGCAAGGGTGCCAGACTGCTCCCAGCTCCTGCGTTTTCCTCCTTATTTCCACTTCAGAACTGCCAAGCCATCCTGATATATCTTGCAGATATATCTACAGATTGAAAGCTGCTTCCATATCTCATCCCTCTTGCATCTTCTAGATGTTGTATCATAGAGGGCACAAGGGATGAAGATGTACCCAGTGTAATGGTACCCTTGTGTCTACAACTTACCAATTATCAGCAATAAATGTGGGGTTTTCTGTTATTCCCTGCTAGTTCATGTACTGTATTCAAGTACATCATCATGCAAAGAGAGATAAGGTGTGTAGGTAAATTGGAAGAGCAGTGCAACTGTTGGCAACCAACCAACATTGGTCCAGGAATCTGAATGATTGCTATGGGCACCATCTCCACTTTAACTCTAATTTTCACAAACCAGCCCCACCGTGAGTTACCTGTGATTGTGTTATCACAGCGATGGACATGCTTCATATAAGATATGCCTATGGGCTCCCCTGATCTGTAATAAACTGATTTAAAAAGGCACAAAGAAATGTACAAAAAGTGCAGTAGAAACTCTACACAGCAACCAATCAACATTTGTCTTTCTCTACTGTGATCTTTAATGGATTTAATTGTTTGCTATTAGCTAATGCAGAATACCAAATAAATGCTGTTAGCACTACTTATTAAAAACGTATTATTATTATTATTATTATTATTATTATTAGATATGTTAACATTTCAGTTATGAAATTATTGAATCAACATTCTTGTGATGTAATCTTGTTAATATATTTATTATCAAACTATTTAAATGTCTTAGGTTTCTTATTAATACAATAATAATTTAAGACTAAGTCATATGCTGTATGTTGCCTACAAATTTAAACACACAGAATGGTCTATTCTGAACACTTATACAGTGCTTCCAGTCCTTCATGTTCTTGGCTGCAGGTGAAAATATTGCATAGTGGTTTTCCTCAAGCTATTGACATTTCTTTATTTTATTACTGTTGCATCTAATTAAATGACTGGGGGTTCCTGCAGAATGAGAGCACGTGCCAAAGTGTTCTCTGGGGCAGGGATAAACTGTTGGGACCTCCAAAATGGGAGGGAAGTTCTGCCCCCTTCACAGCTATTTACTATAAGGGAAAGTCAGACACTCTGCATTTTAACATGCATCAGCTAGATACAGGGTTAATATTTAATGAGCAGTTAATAAAGTTGATAGTCTACAAGGAGCAGATAAATTCCAAGAAAACCAGGCTCTGAAATAATTATCCAAGCAACCCAACAGCTGCAAAAATTGAGCTAAAAGAAAGACATAAGAATACTTCATACCATTGATTAAAAGGATCCAGAAATTACCCAGAAAGGTTCAATGGACACCCTAGGAAGAGAAGGACCATGGGAAGAATGGAAGGGCAGTGTGCAACCAGCCCTGATGTTCTCATTCGTATTTCTTGTCTGCCTGGAAGCCTGCATGTGGGTAAGAAACCATGGACAGAAAAGGGGCCCTCCTGGACCATTCCCTTGGCCTTTTGTGGGAAATGCTATGCAGTTAGGACAAGCTCCTCACCTTACTTTCTGTAAGATGACTCAGAGGTATGGCAATGTGTTCAAGATCAGATTGGGGAACCATGACATTGTGGTCCTAAATGGAAGCTCAACCATCAGAGAAGCCCTGGTGAAGCATAGCTCTGAATTTGCAGGGAGACCTAACTTCACATCCTTCAAAATAATATCTGGAGGGAAGAGTATGGCCTTTGGTGGCTACAGTGACCTTTGGAAGGTTCAGAAGAGAATTGCTCACACAACCCTAAGAGCTTTCTCCACCATCAATGCAGAAACCAAAAAGCAATTTGAGCATCATGTAGCATCAGAAGTCCAAGACCTGATCCAGGTTTACTTGCATCTAAGTTCTGGAGGTCAGTACTTTGACCCTTATCATGAGTGTACTGTGGCTGTTGCCAATGTCATGTGTGCTTTGTGCTTTGGGAAACGTTATAGTCATGATGACCAGGAGTTCAAAGCCTTGGTTGGAAGAAACGACAAATTTGGACAAACAGTGGGTGCTGGAAGTCTAGTGGACATCATGCCCTGGCTTCAAGCCTTCCCCAATCCTGTGAGGAGCCTCTACCGTAGCTTCAAAGACTTGAACATAGAGTTCTTTGATTTCGTGAAAAGTAAAGTTTCCCGGCACCGAGAGACCTACAAACCAGAGGTCACCAGGGACATGAGTGATGCCTTCATAGGTGTGATAGAACATGGGTCGGGAGCTAGTCTGGACAAGGACTATGTGGAGGGAACTGTGACAGATCTTTTAGGTGCAGGTCAGGACACCAACTCTACAGCTCTGGCTTGGATCATACTTTTACTCATCAAATATCCCCACATCCAGCAGAAGCTCCAAGACGAGATTGACAGAGTGGTGGGTCAGGACAGGATGCCCACTGCTGAGGACAAAACCCAACTTTCTTACGTGCAAGCTTTCATCTATGAAGCTCTACGCTTCAGCAGCTTTGTACCCCTGACCATCCCACACTCCACCACCAGCAATGTCATCATTGATGGCTTCTGCATACCCAAGGACACCGTGGTGTTTGTCAACCAGTGGTCAGTAAACCACGATGGGACCACATGGAACAACCCTGACATATTCGACCCTGAGAGGTTCCTGGATGAACATAGACAACTGAACAGAGATCTTACCTATGAGGTGATGATCTTCTCGATGGGGAAGCGTAGATGTATTGGGGATCAGCTTTCCATGCTGCAGATGTTCCTCTTCACCACTATCATGCTGCATCAGTTGTCTTTCCATGCCAACCCCAAAGAAGAACTGACCATGGACTGTATTAATGGCTTGGCTCTGAAGCCTGTTCCATACACAGTGACTGTGAGAGCCCGCAAGCATGCAGCCAGCGAAGTATCCACACTGTAGAGATCTGTTCATTGTCTGAGCTTTCTGAACTCTCACCGGCTTTCCAGGAAAGGGTCACAGCCAGCACCTTTCCAGTCTCCATATCCATGCCTGTCTGCTGGTCTGTGGTCCTTGGTGTCAGAACTTACCCTTTGTATTGAGCAGACTGGTCAGTACATGGCACAAGGGTGACCTGTGACTAGCAGAGGCAATAACGTCTTCTCCTTGCTGGCAACTCCTTCTCCTCCCACAGGCTGGTCTGGCATTCTTAGACTTGTAGTTCCACCATAGAGAAAAAGTCCCAGGTTTCTTCTGTCCATGGAAGCAGAGGAGCCCATTGTGCGCTATTGGCATCCTGTGCGCTCAGCCAGCTCTGCTTCCAGTGTGAGCAGCAGGAGGAGTCCGGGGAGTCAACTTGACGCCTGATTACCTGCTGCGCTTCCCTTCTGTCAGCGCTATATTCACACACAGCCCACTGCTGGGCAGACATTTATCCTTCCTATACATCGCGATTATAAAGTCATGTATTATCCATTTCTAATATGCTATAAGACGGGTTCTAGTGATCAGGAAAGCAGTATTGTTCTTCATTACAGCAGGATTCCAGTGAATGCATTTCACATTGCTGTACATGGTCAGGATTGTATTGTGTATCACGTACCAGGAAAGGGGACGATAAGGATGACATTGTTACATTTTACACATTGATCTGTTTCTTTAAGTATATCTTCTTATTCCTTGTATGAGATTGAAGTGGAACTAGTACTGGAGGGTGACACCGTGACAATGCTATTTTCTGGGGACACCTGTCCCCATCATACAGAAATTACATGACATTAGATGCTAGCTGTGTACACTAGTGGCAATTTACATAAATAGGAAGTATATGTGTAATCATCACATCTTATTGATTTGTTCCTATATTTGTATATATGAAATTAGTATGTTTCTTTATATTTCATGCTTAAAAAATTAAATACGGTGGATGTAGGATTATAACTTTTTTTTTGGTTGAACTGGGTGGACTTTTGTCTTTTTCAGCCAGAAACTATGTAACTGTGTAAATATGAGATTTAATGTACAGTAGTGTGCTGCCTGAAATATATTGCCTAACATCAAGAATACAACAGGACAGAACACAATCCTATAATAATCCATTAATACAATAATTGAAAAAAAAATCAGAACAGAATCAGGTCTGAAATTCTGAGACATACAAGGTTTTGCCTTCATATTGTATAAGAAATACATCAGCCACACTATTCTAAAAATCGGATTGGATCATGTGTGTCCCTTCTGTCCTGGTAATGCTTGCCTTGATTACTGCATTCATCTTTGACATCTTGCTGATGAATAGGTAAAACATTTGTATATAGATGATTACTGCATTCATCTTTGATATCTTGCTGATGAATAGGTAAAACATTTGTATATAGATGGGATTGAATGATTGTCGGGTGTCACTACATCTACAATAGATGATCCAGAGATGGTTTACTAACATTTGTAATCAAGTAATGAGTTGTCTTTACATATTCAGTATCACTTTAAGAACATTTGTTGTTTTTTTTGTACAATTCTAATTAAACTTGTACAGATTGTACAGAAATGATAACTTTTATACTCATTTAACATTTAATATCCGCTAATTGTAGCAGTAGTAGGAAGATGTTTAACATGAATATGTTGGTTTACTATATTTAACATAAATCAATTGATAAAGTAAAAAAATAAATGAGTTGATTTTTAAGCAATACTTAGGTATCTTTATTTTATTGCAGCATGGAAATATAATTAACATACATAATTATCGTACATCGTACAATGTGCAATTCATAATATTGGACTCGTTTTTTTTATTTCTTTACAAACGTTTTTTGGGGAAGGATTACCCTTGGACTGCAGAATGCTGATATCAGTGACTGACTGCCAACAAATGTTAATCTATATGTTAAACCAAACAATGAACTCTTATTTGCTCCTTTGGGCTGTTAAAAACACAAGTTTTGAAAGATATTTAATAACTAGAACCCAGACAGAACCTAGCCTATCTTAGAAAAAAAATATAGAATAAAATATATATCTGGAACCACAATTCTTTCAAAGCAGCTCTGCATTAATAATTTAAGTGTGATTTACCCAGCAAGTAAATTTCACAATAAACCCAGCAAAATTGTCTCCATGTCAAACACCTGGCCATATTTCCCTTTGAGTGAGATGAATGGTTGAAGCAAACACAGCTTAAGTGGTTTTATTATTGTTACAGGTACTTACATAGTGCCATCAATTTACACAGTGCTTTACATACTGTATATATTATACAGTCACATTAGTCCCTAACCCTCAAGGGGTAAACAATCTAATATCCCTAACTCACATTCATACATACACATACTGGGGCCAATTTAGACAGGATCCAATTAACCTACCAGCATGTCTTTGGAGTGTTGGAGGAAACTGGAGTACCTGGAAAAGATGCAAACTCCAGGCAGGTGGTGCCGTAGTTGGGATTTTCCTAAAGAGGGATGGTTCAAAATTCCTCCTTAAAGAGGAACTTCACTCTCTCAGTCAACATTGACTATTTTTAATCCTTATTCTGCTAGCATTAGTAAATAGATAGGAAAAAAAGATTGTATTTACTTCTTTTAAACTGATTTTTTACATGTATTTTGTTACTTCCTGGTTTCCATGCCTAGGCAAATGATGTCATACATCCCAGGAGTTTTCAGGAGGAGTTTTACCAGCCTGCCTGCATGCCTGAGCTAAGGGCAGATGGATTCCAGGAAGTAAATGTTAAATTAATCATCTTCCCTTACTCAAGATGGCCATGGCCAGAAATGCTAGGGGGGTGTTTTTCTAAATGATTTGTCAGCTAAATAAAGCATGGAGACATGGATGGAAAGGAGATTTTGCTTTGAATATAAAAAATGAAGTAAATAGCACTTTTGGTTTGCAGTGCTCAGATACAGTGTAGTTCTGCTTTTACAATTCTGATCAGTAGCAACAGGAAATATTTGGTGGAAGATATTGTTAAAGTGGGGTTTATAAATGAATAAATACAAAGGTTCACACACTTTTTGTAGCCCAGAATGGGACTATTTAGACAATAGTAGAAGTGGCTGTGTGTTATCATTTTAAGCAGCTTGTGTGTCTATTTTTGTGATAAAATTTAAGATCAGACCTAATCAGACCACATTTTGAAGCCATTCATAGAGAAATCCAGGAAATTCCAAAAGGTTTGCAAACTTTTTCTTGCAAATATATCAATGAACTTTCATGTCACTGTGGCAAAAATAAATATATTTACTACAGCATTTGCTCGGCAGTATTTAGGATCTCAGATGATCGCATGCTCAATTTCCATGAAATATGTCAAGTAAAGAATGTGTATACATAGTCCTGATATTACATACACACAGTACATATGTTAAAAAAAGATTTTACGTTTTCATTAGAACATTGAAAAAATACAGACACAATGCAGTCTATAACTGTCCGTCAACATTTTTTTTACTATGCAGTGACAATGCTGCTAGCCAATTGTAACATTTTTTTCAGTCCACTGTGGTGTAAGCAGTCACAGGCTACATAAGTGTGACAACTCTCCTCTGAATTCAGGAGCAGTGCACCATTGTTGCCACGCCTTCAAAGGATGCTGTATTAGGTGGACTTCACTGGTGGGTTCAACACATCTTTGTGGGTCCTTGCAAGAGGACAGCATTTTTTGTGTTGCCTAGGGCAGCACAAAACCTAAATACACCACTGGCTATGGCTATGATGGAGACATACATTAGCAGGTTGACTGCATCATGTATAAGGAAGGGATAAATGTGCAACATGTTTTTATTATGAAGATGACAGAAGGTGGTTAGAGCATTATTGTGAACTGAAATTATTGGAGTATTATGAAGACAAAGGCTATTTTATCTATATTGGCCCTGATTTATCAAATTGAAGTGATACATACCATATGTAAAATGAGTCATGTGAAATACTATGATTACATGTATTATCACAACTTGACTCATCAAAGGGGGATTTTTTTCTACTTGTGGTGTTTCAGCCCGACTCCAGACAAAATATTGTTTGTTAGTTAAGGATAGAGCGGGGAAGAGTAAAAATGTAGTTTTGGCTTTTATTTCTGTCTGGGACTTAGTTGCATAGTTATATAGTTAGTCAGGTTGAAAAAAGACAGAAGCCTGTCTACTTCAACCAATAAAAAAGAAAACCTTCACATACAATCTCATACCCATAATTGATCTAGAGGAAAGCAAAAAAAAAAAGCATAGTCCAATTTGCTCTAGCAGGGAAAAAAATTAATTCCCTCCTGATTCCCCGGGATGCAGTCAGATACTCCCTGGAACCACCATCCCTGGTGTTTTTACCTAAAAGTATTAATATGCAGTTGTAATTTTTGCATTTAGTCCAGTTCTTTTTTAAACCAATCTACTGAGCTATCAGAAGTAGTTCTTGAGAGAGTCTATTCCACAGTGTCACAGCTCTTACAGTGAAGAAGCCTTTCTGTATGTGGAGGGTAAATTTCTTTTCCTCCAGAGGTAAAGAGTGCCCCCTTTTCCTCTGTAATGAACTGAAAGTGAATTTCTCTACATCAAGTTCACTATATGGACCAATTATGTATTTATACATGGTGATCATATCCCCCTTAAACCCTTTTCTCAAGAAAGATTACATTTAGTTCACCTATTATTTCTTCAAAGCTAAGGATGGACTTCACTTGGGAGCTTTTTCCCCATTTCCTTCACAGGTGACACCAAGATATGAAATAGGGAGAAAGGTTTTTCCCAAGAAAGGAAAACACATACAGCAATAAAAACATAGTATGGCTAAGCCAATAAAAACATTTTCAGCAGCTCTAAGCCAATAGGGGCACATACAGCAAATAAAACCTCTAAAAAAAGAGGAAGGCAAACCAGCAACTGGAATAGTGGGCCAAGCTCCTTGTGCTGCCACACTTGTTGTATGAGAATATAATGCAATGCATAGTCATGGTTAATGTTCAT